ATAGCCAGGACATGGAAGCAACCTAGATGCCCATCAGCAGACGAATGGATGAGGAAGCTGTGGTACATATACACCATGGAATATTACTCAGCCATTAAAAAGAATTCATTTGAATCAGTTCTAATGAGATGGATGAAACTGGAGCCCATTATACAGAGCGAAGTAAGCCAGAAAGATAAACACCAATACAGTATACTAACACATATATATGGAATTTAGAAAGATGGTAATGATAACCCTATATGCAAGAGAGAAAAAGAGACACAGATGTAGAGAACAGACTTTTGGACTCTGTGGGAGAAGGCGAGGGTGGGATGATCTGAGAGAATAACATTGAAACAGGTATATTATCAATTGTGAAACAGATCGCCAGTCCAGGTTTGATGCATGAGACAAATGCTCAGGGCTGGTGCACTAGGATGACCCAGAGGGATGGGATGGGGAGGGAGGTGGGAGAGGGGTTCAGGATGGGGAACACATGTAAATCCATGGTTGATTCATGTCAATGTATGGCAAAAACCACTACACTATTATAAAGTAATTAGCCTCCAACTAATATAAATAAATGAAAAAAAAAATCACCTACCAAAAAAAAAAAGAAAAACAAAAACATGATTTTAAAAAACGACTCCAAGTTCTCTCTTGTTTTTCAAAGTCTTTCTTAAAATGTGTGTTAAGAAGACTTTTTATTGTTGATATCTTTGTTATCAAGAAACAAATAGTCAAAATTCAATATTCTTTGATTTCTCTTCATCACATGGACTGTAGCCTACTACGCTCCTCCAACCATGGGATTTTTCAGGCAAGGGTACTGGAGTGGGTTGCCATTTCCTTCTCTCTTCATCATATACAATGAGTATAATATTTTAATTATCAATATAAAATAACACCCTTGATACTATCTTGGTAGATTACTTTTTCTGCCTATCTACCAATTTTCCACACACTCATGTCTTTACATAGCATATATTATGCTGGTAAAGAATCCTGGTGACTCAGATGGTAAAAAATTCTCCTATGTTGGAGACCAGGGTTGGGAAGATCCCCTGGAGAGGGGAAGGGCTACCCACTCTAGTATTCTAGCCTGGAGAATTCCATGGGTGTGTTGTCCATGGGGTGGCAAAGAGTTGGACACAGCTGAGAGACTTTCACTTTTTACCAATTATCTATGCACTCATGTCTTTATAAAGCATACATTATGTTACCTGTGTATATTCAAAATAATGTCTGTAATACACTGACAAATGTTGATAATTCTTATTTCTGGGATCTTGGATCATTAATGGCCTTTCTAAAAGGAAATTATTTGTTGTTTGCAATTGTTTCTTTGTCTTGTAGAAATAGAAATGAAAATTGCAACAAACTTGAAATAGAAATGTATTCTTTACCAACCTACTGCCAGAAAATGAACTAGAAGACCAATAGTGGTTCCTAGGATTGCCACCACTCCAAACACAATGAGGACAATCATCCACAGTGGCAAAGATGTCCGGGAAACTGTCACTGGTCTGCAAGTAAAGAATATGAATAATAAAGACATATTAGAAAAGTCAGCCACTCCAAATCTTTGTTTATTTTCTCTTGCTCACCCCTAGAATATCCATAATCTAAACACATTAGTAGCAAAAGATATTTGAAGACAGGAAGGAAGGAAAGAAGAAAGGATGGAAGGAGAGAGGAAGGAAAGAAGGAAAAAAGGGGAAGAAGGAAGTGAAGCCTATGAATTTACCTTAAAGCTTATGACTGAACCTCTCTGGATCTGTGCTATGAAATTATTTTTCAGGAGTTATGATGATGCCAAGTGACCTTTACTTAGACACTAGTTTCCTCCCCTGATCAATGGGTAGTGGAAAAAGTTAGCAAGTGAAGACCTTGCCAGGTAGGGGGGTCCAGGAAGAGAAGAGAATAGAAGTACCTTAGGACTTCTTGATGCCTAAATTTATTATAATTTTTATACTATGATCATGATCCTATATTATTTACTATGTCCTTATTATATAAAAAGAACACACACAAATATGAAGTGCCATATTGGATCAGAGCAGTGCCCATCTCACTGCCATGAATTCTCAAAGCTTCTGTGGCAAGGATCTAAAACACAGCTTTCTTGTAAGAATTTCCCCATTTCATTGGACTAGCCCTAGAAAAGAAAATGAAATTGATAAAATATGGTTTTGAACTCTTTACTTTCACTTGTAGTGTTTCCTTTCTCCCTCTTGGTCTTTCATCACTCAGAACTCCTGTGCAGCCACAGACTGCACAAGATGAGACCTGAGGTCTCATCAAATGCATCTGCAGAGGCAACCATGCTTTAAGATTCCTCCCAGATCCCCCAGGCAATCAGATTATTGCCTCACCCTGAGAAGTTACTCACTGAGCTAGGGCTTGAACCTTTTCTGGCTAATTAGCACTGTTTAGAAACAATGGCTTATTCCTTTCAATTCTTTCCATTTAGGACTTCACACAAGTGTCAGGATGATGGAGAAGGAGGAGGTGCTCTATAAATAAAAATAATATTACCCACCCAGCATAAAGGTGATGACTAACTTCCAGGAAAAACAAAACAGAACAAAACAATCTTTTTGTTTCTTCTCCAATTTTAAGTATGAGTGAACGCTCTTTCCTTAACTGATAGACCAAAGATGTGACTAATAAGAAAATATCAGGGTTACAAATATCATAACATTTTTAATAAAAAAGAAATCACATAACAATATTTACTTTAGCTCAAGAAAAATATTCTTTCTATGCTCTATTGCAGTGAGCATGCTCTTTCTTTTTTAAAAATTAAAAATTTATTTCATTGAATTATAGCTGATTTACAATGTTTTGTTAATTTCTACTATATAGGAAAGTGATTCAGTTACACATATATATACATTCTTTTCATATTCTTCCAATATGTTTATCAGAAGATATTGAATATAGTTTCCTGTGCCACAGAGTAGGACCTTGTTGTTTATCCATTCTATGTATAGTAGTTTGCATATGCTAATCCCAAACTCCCAATCCTTCTCTCCAGGAATCCCCTGACTGAGCACGCTCCTTCTAATTACATTTTTACATGAATTTATTTTTATTTTATATTGGAACATAGTTAATTAAGAGTATTATGTTAGGATGCACATTTTTTAGAGAAATATTTCTGTAAAGTATGAGTTTGTATTTCAGTTATCCTAATTATAATGTTTAATATATAATGCTATAAATATTATAAATTAGGATCAGTTAATTTTTGTATATTGTATACATTGCAATGAAAACTCCATGCATGTTTTTAAATGGTTGGCATGAATAATTATTGTTGACATGATGAAGTAATAAACTAATTAGATACTTGAGGTAACACATGTCTATACGTAGTTACACTATTCTAGTTTATGAACATTTTACAGATAAAAATACATAATTTTATATATTATTCTATAGGGAACCCTTATGAAGCAATGGTACTGTGAGATTGAAGGTTATATCCATGAAAGCACTTCAGAAACCACAGATATTAACAAAAATGAAGGATTCATAATCATTACCACCAACAATATTTTAACATTAGCTTTATGAGAGAAGAAAATTATCTCTCTGCTTCCTTCTCTCCACTTTAAAATAGTCACACATTGACCTAAATGGCTAGGAAATCCAAAAAAGAGGGGATATGTACACATGTATAGCAGATTTGCTTTGCTGTACTGTAGTAAATAACACAACATTGTAAAGCAATCATATTTTTTTAATAAATAAAAATATAAAATAAATAACCAACAAGAGACCTACTGTGTAGCACAGCAAACTCTGCTCAATACTTTGTAATAACCTAAATGGGAAAAGAATTTGAAAAAGAATAGATACATATATATATATATGTATAACTGAGTCACTTTTCTGTACATCTGAAACTAACACGTTATTAATCAACTAAATACTCCAATATAAAGTTAAAAAAAGTTTAAGTAAAAAGCAGTCACACATTAATATTGTTTTTCATTCACAGAATGTTAAGCTGCATGTTAGCTTTTTGAAGCACTCCCCAAATTGTTAAAAACAAACAAACAAACAAACAAATAAAAACTATAGATCCCAGATACAATATGTAAATAATAGGGTTGCCTCCAGACAGGAAATCCAAACTGCTGTGGAAAAATTACAAATTCCTCTCAAACTCAATTGTTTTACTTCAACCCTTGGGTGGGAGTCATAGTGGAAAAAGTGTTCATTCTTTTTATGTCAGAATTTTAGTCAAGCAAGTCTCCACTTACCTGTACATAATGTACTGATATAATGGCTGTTGATGTTAGTAACGATAAAGGAAACTTCGGTACTTCTTTTGTCCTGATCAGTGGTTCTCAGGTAAATGTACTAACCACAGTGATACTTGGGATCTTAAGGGCTGGGTGCACTAGCAGAAAGCAATTAAAAGGAAACTTGTTTAACAAGTGTTGATGACAACTTGGATCTGTGATTTAAAGGAAGAAATGAAAATTCTCTTTGGGTTGGATACTAAGACATAGACATAATGTGGATTGCTCATCTGACAGGTCCACCCAAGAAATACCACCACAAATTGGTGAATCAGTGTTCTGACTCAGATTCTGTCTACCCCTTTCCTGATACTGTGGCTCCTCCTCAGTGAAACTAACTGTACCTACCACAGCAGTCTCTGACAAGGACTTAAATGTACATTGTGGTTTTTTTTTTTTTTTTTGATACAATAATTCTGTTACAATATATACACTACCATGTGTAAAATAGATAGCTAGTAGGAAGTTTATATATAACACAAGTTGCTCTGTGATGACTTAGAAAGGTGGGATGGGGATGGGAGGGAGGCTCCAGAGAGAGGGGATATATATATACATATAACTGATTCACTTCATGGTACAGCAGAAACTAACACAATACTTTAAAGCCATTATACTTCAATTAAAAAAAAAAATTCTGCCACAGCATTACTCACTGGAAACACACTTAATCTAAAAATTCTCCCTGGACGCTCTGCACATTTTTGAAGGAATGGATTTACTGATGGATGTAGGTTTTGGTATAGGATTCATCAGTTCTATTTTGATAATTCTTTATGGGAAGCGGAGTTAACTAATCTAGTCAAGCATTATTTTACTAAGTGAATCAAGAAAATAGTAAAGACTTAATATGAGGCATTTATGAATGCTATAAAGAAAATAAAGCAGAATAATTGGGCAGAAAATGGTGGGAAGCTATCTTTATGGTGGTTAGGAAAGGCCTCTCTGAGGAGGAAACTTTTGAACACTGACCTGAATGATAATATTAATAGGTATGATTCATCTTCCTAAAACATATTCATAACATTTCTTCATTTAAAAATCATCAAAACTCTCACTTGCTTTCAGGATAAAATAGAAACCTCAGTGGTTAATATTCAAGGTCCTTTAGAATGTCATTTCTTTTTACCAGTACTATTCCATTACAGCGTGCTCTAACAGGAAGGGCATGACCTCTGTCCCAAGGCCAGGACCACTAGTAACTAGTTGTTTGGCATAAACCTTCCTGAGTTTCCCTTTTCTCTTAAGTAGGAATGGAATCTAACAAGACTGTACATGTAAGGTAGTTGTTATCAACTGAGATCATGTAGGCCAAGTACTTGACACAATGTACAGGACATTGTATTATCCTCATAATGACTTTACCTAAAACTTGACTTTCCTTGAGCTATTTCTCACAGTTCTATTCCTTGAATTGCTTCCTGGGTAGCTCAAATGGTAAAGAATCTGCCCACAGTGCAGAGAAACCTGGTTTTGATCCCTGGGTCAGGAAGATCTCCTGGAGAAGGTCATGGCAACCCACTCCAGTGTTCTTGCTTAGAGAATTCCATGGACAGAGGAGCCTGTTGGACTACTATCTATGGAGTTGCAGAGAGTTGGACATGACTGAGGACCAACACACACATTCCTTGAATGGCAAGTGCTTTCCTACCTCCAAGATTAACACACCCAGGATTGCCATTTCTACCATCTAATGTTTATCCATGCTTCATGGTCCAACTTAATTGCTATGACCTTCATAAACCCTTCCCTGGAATTGTTAATCTTTAATCTAAACCCTTCTCTTTAATCTTTTTTTATGGCCCCTAATATTTACTATCATCAGTACTCATTTTCAATTTAATATAAATTATCATATTGATTTCTATTTGAATCTGTTCTGTGGAGGGTTCTATCATACCAATGAAAATATAAGCTACTTAAACCTGAAGGTAAGAACTATAGCTTATATTTCTTTGTTTTTCATAATGTTTATCAAAGTTCTTAGTATCCAGTAGATGTTCATCAAATAACATATATGCTTAAATAAAATGATTAATATCCAAAAATAGGTAGACCTCCTAAAAGTTAATAAAATGTTTTTTAAAATGTAATATAGAATGTAGATAAGATTTTAACAGAGTATTCATGGAATAAATAGAGAAGGACATTAACATAAAATATGCTTAATACCATCCATGGATAACTATAGAAGCACATTAGAACAATTCAATAATGCTACTAAAATTAAAAATTAGAATTCTATTTCAAAATGAACTCTCTTATATTGATGGTAGGAATTAGAATTGAGTCACCAACTTTAGAGAGTAGCTTGACATCACCTATTTAATTTTAACACTGTATTCCCTATGGGCTAGAGTCAGACATGGCTGAATAACTAACGCACACACACACACATTCCCTATAACTAAGCAGTTTCATTTCTAGGTATATATCTAGACATCTATCCTGGCTCATATACTGAAACAGGAATATATAAGGTGATTTATTACAATGTTCTCAACAGAAAAGATAGAAACAAAATATTCATTGATAGAGCAATGGTTAAACTATGGTGTACCTATATAATGCAATATTGTTTGGCAGGAATGAGGTTATAACTGGTGTGGTGCCTTACTCATCATCCTTTCTAAGGTCCCTTTCTATTCTGCAGAGACTGGAAAGTGTTAAAAGATTTTTCCAAGACTGCCTTGCATTTAGAATTCTGGATGCAAAATAGATTCTGCCAGCTAGATGCACTTGTATGAAACTTGAAAGGGAGAAGCAAGTCAAATGCCTTTTAAGGCAGAAATGAGACTGTCTTGGTATTTATGTTGATAAAAGTTCATAGGGATATTTTGTTTCCTGCAGCAGCATTCTACTTTCTATATCTAGCTTCCTAGGGTCTAAGAAACAATTTGAGAGCAGGCAAAGACCAGACCAGCTTACGGGTGTCAGGAGGCTGTGGTAGAAGTATCATTGCTGCTAGGGCCTTTCTGATCCCTGGATCTTAGCTATTGAATTCAATACTGCCACAGGGGCTATCTCTTCTGGGCATCAGTTCTCTACTGTTCTATGGGTCATCCCTGAAGTTCAGCCTAGGGCCTTCACACCAGCCCTTCTAATAACTTTTGAAATACATGATTTCATACTTCAAATTGCTTTCTGTTTAAAATGTCTTTTCTAAAATGAATAAATAAAATGCTTCTTCTACTCTGAACTCTGACTGATAGAGTTGTAAATCTGTATAGAAAAATTTTAAGAAAAATTATTGAGTAAAAAACATGAGATGCAGGATCACAATTTGATACAATAACAGAAGTAATTAAAAGAAAATAATATTTACACTTTAATAGAAATTAATGTATATATTTAAATTCATGTATTTATTTATAAAAAGGTAAATATATTTAAAATATCTGGAAGGATTCCAAAATAATGATTACCTCCAAGGAGAATTGATAAAATAAGAATTGAAAATTGAAAAAATTGAAATTTGAAAAAATTTGAAAAAATTGAAAAAAATTTGAAAAAAAATTTGAACAAATTTGAAAATTGAAAAAATATATAAGAATTGAAAATGATAACTAAAGAAACTTTATCTTGATATGTAATGAATTTGTTAAGAATAATGTGTTAATATGTTGCTTGCTTGTATAATTAAACAATTTTTAAATATACTTGTTGAAATGAAATAAAAGTTTGTCTTTGATATGGATCTGAGTGGAGGATAAAAAGAGGAATTGGTAAATAAAATGTAGGGAGTTAGAGCCAAATTAATATTGGCTAAAAATAAATTGTATTAATATTTGTTGGCTTTGTAGAACTTTCCAGGATGAGATAATGGCTTGATGACAGTAAGCACGAAATCCATAAGAACACAGTGGATTGGTACTCCCTTGTGGTCTAATGGTTAGCACTCCACACTTTGACTAATGAGAGCCTGGGTTCAATCCTTGGTAAGGGAACTAAGGGCTCATATGCCAAGCTGTGCAATGTTGCTTCCATGTCCTGGCTATTATAAACAGTGCTGCGATGAACGTTGGGGTGCATGTGGCTCTTTCAGATCTGGTTTCCTTGGTGTGTATATGAAATATGTTTGTCTTTGATATGGATCTGAGTGGAGGATAAAAAGAGGAATTGGTCAATAAAATGTAGGGAATTAGCGCTAAATTAATATTGGCTAAAAATAAATTGTATTAATATTTGTTGGCTTTGTAGAACTTTCCAGGATGAGATAATGGCTTGATGACAGTAAGCACAAAATCCATAAGAACACAGTGGATTGGTACTCCCTCGTGGTCTAATGGTTAGCACTCCACACTTTGACTAATGAGAGCCTGGGTTCAATCCTTGGTAAGGGAACTAAGGGCTCATATGCCAAGCTGTGCAACATGGACTAAAAAAAAAGTTGATAAGTCTCACAAAGGTGTGAACTAATTTTTGAAGTACAGTTACCAGGAGAAAAATGTCAGCGAAGGACATTCTAGATAAGGAGTACAGCATTTGAAAGGCCCAGAATAGCATGTTTCAGAAATCTGAAGTAGTAGCAAAATTAGAGCACAGGTTAAATACAAGGGCTCAATGGGAAAAAGCACAGAGCAGCATACAGCAGCCAAATTCTAATAGTATATTTCGGTGTTATTCAGTTGTATGGGACTGTTACTTCCATTGAACCAGACACCAGTTCAGGAACACAGAGACAGAAAAGTGCTCTTGAGAAACTGTTTAGTAGGATACTCAGATGCAAAAATAGATGTTTCCATTTTGTAGAAAGCACAGTAACAGGTGTATGCCTGGGGCAATCTGGAACACCAGACTAGGGACATCAGAAAAGGCTTCCTGGTAAGAGGGGAACTCACAAAACATGTCCTGACTAATGAGTAGGAAGAGTGTGTCAAGCTTTTTATGGATTTGCTAATCATAATTAAGAGTTTAGGTTTTATTCTCCAAGGGTGATGAGTCCAAGGGTGGAGTAGATTTTAAGCAGAACAAAGAAATTCTCCTAGACTTCCTGATAACCAAGACTTTGTTCCTGCTCTGATCGTGGCTTGGTTTGATGCCCTTTAATC